ACCCTTTCAAGTAGCAGGCACAGTCTCACAAACCACACAAATTCAGTCTTAATGCAGACTGCTCATGATTATTGTGGCATTGTGACAGATTAAGACTGAAAGGTTGGAGCTGTTATCTATCATGTGCATATAAATTGGACTCTGAGTTCCACCAGTCCCATCTTTCAGGTGTAAAAGTCACTAATTTGTCAGGTTCGCTCAAACTGATCACAGCACTCACCTTATGCTGCTCCCTCTGAAGATTTACTGAACATGGTCAGAGTGTTACTTAGTTCACCAGGTGATTCCCTGTGACACATATGCTAGATGGCAAAGTCAGCATAAGGCCAAACAGACATAGGTTATCACCTATACTCCTGTCCTCTTAGGGAGCATTACCAGAGAATAATATAATGTATAAATGCCTTACTAACTTAGTAGGGTCGTTCCACGAAATGAGTCCCTTTTGCGTCCCTTTGATATTTTAAGTAGAAATTTGGCACCAATATTGGATTTTAAAAGCATGTCATATTGAATGAAGTGCCATTTAAAATAGACCACATAGAAAATGCAATAAATCTGATTTTTAATGAGTAAACACTTAAAGTGCCCAAATTCAGCATATTGACATGTCCGTATGTACACTCTGTGATTTCAAAAAATATTTGTACCCACTTAACCCCAAAATGTATCCATGTTTTCACCATCATTGTAAAACCCTAGTTTTGTTGCTTCGACAAAGTCATTTCTGAAGATTGTTTTTTAGTTCATGTGATTAGCGGTTCATTTTAAGGTTTAAAAAAACCTGGCCCTCATTTTAAGGTCAACCCTGTTACGTGAACTCTCATTTTAATATAGTGAAACTATACCTTTGTAAATATCTAATAGTTAAATCATTGTGTAAAATCAGGTGAGATGGTTCTACTCTTTTTAGCCATTGTCTGGTGTTTTGTGGTGGAAAGCTGAAGTGGGTCGAGCATATCACGTCAACCCTGTTACCCATAGATAGACAGGCTAGAAATGTTTTAACAATAAACCATTTTTGGTGAAGCTTGCATTCAATTGCCCCTCCCTTTTGCACACAATATTCCATTCCCCCTGTCACAAGGGGATTTATGGCTGATTTAAGATGAAATCACCAACCTTGTTACGGTCAACGCTGTTCCTTTGTTTGGCATTAAATAGGCACTTACTATAGTCCATTTTTTAATTTAACAGTTGGGATGGGAAAACATGTTTTTTATTAAGTTGAACATGTGCTGTCACTTACTGGGTCATTTTTTAAAAATCCACCAAGTTACACTACCCAAAAGGGACACATTTGTGGAATGACCCAGTAAGTGTCTTACTCTATGATAACTCCAAATCTGAGGTTTTTGCTCAATGTTCTATGTTTTAGTTGTCATTTATGTTTTTGGAAACATACAATAGCATGTTCTGTTCCAAACCAAGTGTAGGGGCTGTTGTTGGGCTGGTACACATACTCAGGATTATGGATTTAATTCATTTCCTACCTTGTTTCGGGACCATTTAACATTGTTTAATGTAGTGCTTGCTATTTTGCGCTGGGTAGTTGTTGTGGAGACTTCCAGGCCTGAAGGAGGTGCCACTAATGAACAGTTCATTGAGACAGTAAAGGAGAGCAAAATGAATTAGGTTTCAATTAGAGCTCAATACAAGAATAAACACCAACTAGTCTGTGCTATTTTATTATTTGTGGGGAAGAATCGACCAGCCGTCAAAGGAATAGATACAAATCGTCTCAAATCTTGGAGAAAAGCCACGAAGCACTAAATGTTTACAAAGTAATTGGCAGTTTAATCACATTTTTAGAGGGCACCTACAGTTGTATAACCTTAGATGTTTATGTGAAATAAATTAAACCAGGACTGCAAGGTCATGTTTATTTTGGTCTCTTTTCTGATCTCTGGGCTGTGTATCTTCATGTAGATTTTTTAGAGAAAGGATATAGTGTGTGTGTGTGTGGGTGCGTGTGTGTACCTGCCTGTCTGTCTGTGTGGGTCTGTGTGTGTGTCTGTGTGTGTGTGTGTCTATGTGTGTGCCTGCGTCCATGTGCTCGCGCTGTGCGTGCATGTCTGCATGTGCATGTGTGTTAATACAGTATGCATGTGTGTCTGTGTGCAGTGAGTCTGTGTGCAGTGAGTCTGTGTGCAGTGTAGCACTCTTCTTGAAGGAACATGTCATGGGACAGTTTATGCAGAGCTACTGTAAAGTATGATACAGGGTCATAACTCCATGATGACAGTGATGCTGTGCTCCCTGTGGTGTGCTCTGGTTTCTGGGACACGCGTGTGGAAGATGGCCTTTCTGTTCCTCGGGGCCACAGAGCAGTATGCATGGGGATAGAGTACCCATTTTTACTTCATTATTAGAGCTGTCTCAGAGCCTCCAAAGGAAGCCTTTCATCAGTGCTGCTCACTGAGTGGCTATGGAAAACAAATGGTTTCTGAATACCATAGAGAGCCCAAGTATCGTATTTCATAGCATATCATGTTGTAAATGATGAATGTTGTAGGATATTCTACTGCATTTTCTACATTTCTATGTATTTACAGTTGGAAGTCGGAGGTTTACATACACCTTAGCCAAATATATTTAAACTCAGTTTTTCACAATTCCTGACATTGATTCCTAGTAAAAATTCCCTGTCTTAGGTCAGTTAGGATCACCACTTTATTTTAAGAATGTGAAATGTCAGAATAATAGTAGAGAGAATTATTTATTTCAGCTTTTATTTCTTTCATCACATTCCCAGTGGGTCAGAAGTTTACAAACACTCAATTAGAATTAGGTAGCATTGCCTTTAAATTGTTTAACTTGGGTCAAACGTTTCGGGTAGCCTTCCACAAGCCTCCCACAATAAGTTGGGTGAATTTTGGCCCATTCCTCCTGACAGAGTTGGTGTAACTGAGTCAGGTTTGTAGGCCTCCTTGCTCGCACACGCTTTTTCAGTTCTGCCCACACATTCTCTATATGATTGAGGTCAGGGCTTTGTGATGGCCACTCCAATACCTTGACTTTGTTGTCCTTAAGCCATTTTGCCACAACTTTGGAAGTCTGCTTGGGGTCATTGTCCATTTGGAAGACCCATTTGCGACCAAGCTTTAACTTCCTGACTGATGTCTTAAGATGTTATATCCACATAATTTTCCTTCCTCATGATGCCATCTATTTTGTGAAGTGCACCAGTCCCTCCTGCAGCAAAGCACCCCCACAGCATGATGCTGCCACCCCCATGCTTCACGGTTGGGATGGTGTTCTTCGGCTTGCAAGCGTCCCCCTTTTTCCTCCAAACATAACGATGGTCATTATGGCCAAACAGTTCTATTTTTGTTACATCAGACCAGAGGACATTTATCCAAAAAGTACGATCTTTGTCCCCATGTGTAGTTGCAAACCATAGTCTGGCTTTTTTATTGCGGTTTTGGAGCAGTGGCTTCTTCCTTGCTGAGCGGCTGTAGTATCTGAGGAATTTATGACTTTGTTAATGTTTGCAAATGGTAGCTTAGAGAATGTTGATTTGGCCCAGGGAGACATCTGGAGAGCAGTTCTATAGGAGTACCCTAAAGCAGAGGAAGTATGTTAGGTGACCTCCTGGGATTGGTCTGTAGGGGAAACACCCATATCAGATTACATAGGATATATACTATGGTTTGGGACAAAGGAGGTCAGAATAGCATATTTAGAATTTGGGTTGGCTGTTCTCCAGATGCCGGCAGGTATCTGTAAATTGAAGCTGTAACCCTTTGATATAAATAAAGCTTTATGATCAAAGTACAGCGTCAGCGGATTTCCTTGGTCTCACAGCATAATTAGCAACGTATTCTCGACACATTTACATTTTAGTCATTTAGCAGACGCTCTTATCCAGAGCGACTTACAGTTAGTGAATACATGTTTTTTTCATACTGGCCCCCCGTGGGAATCTAACCCACAACCCTGGCATTGCAAATGCCATGCTCTACCAACTGAGCTACATCCCTGCCGGCCATTCCCTCCCCTACCCTGGACGACGCTGGGCCAATTTTGCGCCGCCCCATGGGTCTCCCGGTCGCGGCCGGCTACGACAGAGCCTGGATTCGAACCAGGATCTCTAGTGGCACAGCGATGCAGTGCCTTAGACCACTGCGCCACTCGGGAGACACAACACGGCCTTTCAGGTTATGTCGATATAGGACTCGTTTTACTGTGGATATAGATACTTTTGTACCTGTTTCCTCCAGCATCTTCACAAGGTCCTTTGCTGTTGTTCTGGGATTGATTTGCACTTTTCGCACCAAAGTACGTTCATCTCTAGGAGACAGAACGTGTCTCCTTCCTGAGCGGTATGACGGCTGCGTGGTCCCATGGTGTTTATACTTGCGTACTATTGTTTGTACAGATGAACGTGGTACATTCAGGCTTTTGGAAATTGCTCCCAAGGATGAACCAGACTTGTGGAGGTCTACAATTTTTTTTCTGAGGTCTTGGCTGATTTCTTTTGATTTCCCCATGATGTCAAGCAAATAGGCACTGAGTTTGAAGGTAGGCCTTGAAATACATCCACAGGTACACCTCCAATTGACTCAAATGATGTCAATTAGCCTATCAGAAGCTTCTAAAGCCATGACATAATTTTCTGGAATTTTCCAAGCTGTTTAAAGGCACAGTCAACTTATTGTATGTAAACTTCTGACCCACTGGAATTGTGATACAGTGAATTATAAGTGAAATAATCTGTATGTAAACAATTGTTGGAAAAATTACTTGTGTCATGCACAAAGTAGATGTCCTAACCGACTTGCCAAAACTATAGTTTGTTAAAAAGAAATTTGTGGAGTGGTTGAAAAACGAGTTTTAATGACTCCAACCTCAGTGTATGTAAACTTCTGACTTCAACTGTATATCTATGCAATCTCACTCTCTCCTCTTTCTCTCTCTCTTTCTCTTCCAGTGCATGAGGGACCCAGCTCTGCTGCTGACACATTTAGAGTTTAGCCTGCTTTGCCACAACCAGGAAGATGTCGGGGTCCTACGATGAATCTGCTGCTGCTGCTGACGACGCTATGGACAGCTTTTGGGAGGTACTTCAGAAACACCATCCATACAGGTCATCTGGTCTATGAAGGAAAACCTATAGGCCTTTATCAGCCAAGTCACACACAACGATCCCTCTTTAGGAGACATGAGTCATAGGCATCTCTGGCCAACATTCTCCTCTCTCTGTTTGAAAACGTTCTTGACAACTGAAAACATGATACTATAGGTTGTGTAATTTCATTTCCATGAGGATCCATAGGAATATGGTTGGTTAATCCAGTACGTTGGTGTTGTTGCACAGAAAATATCCAATTAGTGCTAATGAATTCACTATAGCGCACTATAGAGTCCCTTTTGTGTCATCGTAGGAGGAGGGTCACAGAGACAGACAGAGCCTCTCAGTTAGAAGCAGCACTGAGGCAGCCATTCAGCCCACATGCACCTGCCCTAAGATCTATATACGGCCAAGAAAGCTCTGGCCACAGCATACTGAATAGCATAATGACTCTCGTAGGTCTAGATGTTTTGTTTTAAAATGAAAAACAGACACTGTACCCCACACCAGTCCCTCCCAGCCTAGTGCCCATCCTCTCTGAGTGGACTGAGTGGTCTGTGTCTGTGGGCTGCATTCCTGTCTCTGCCTCATCCTGTCAGTGTCCTATCCCTGATAATCTGTCTGCCTGCATTAGAGCAGAGTAAAGGATTATAGCAGTCAGTGCACGAGCACTCGCACAGGGACGTGCACACACAGGGACACACACACATACATGCGCGGGCCATTACACACACAAAGCCGCTGCCATTGCATAACTACACATGCACAGGCACGAGCCGTCTGTCCCCCTCCCCCTCCCTCTGTCATGCACCATGAGCTCACGCCCCCTGCAGGCACTGGGGGGAGGGGCCTCAGAGGTCAGTACTGACTATGTTAAGGTGGCATCTCTTAAGGTGGTATGAGAATGATGAAAGTGAGTACAGGTGATTCTTTATTGTTACTCAAGAGTATTAGTAGATAATATATAATTTTCATCACTACACCAGAGTTATTTTATCTCCATTTCTTATTTGACTCTCTCAAGAGAGAAAATGATTTTACAGTTTATGTTGGCCCCTCAGATTAGTTATTTCCATCTAAAGATATCTTAGTGCTCTTAGAGATTTGGCATATTGAGAATTGCACTTGCACATTTTAGATGTTTTTTGTGTGCAAATGACTGCAATCATTGATATGTAGGGAAGCCTTCTGTTTTGCTCTTGTACCTCTATAGTCTAACCTCCTCTGACCATTCTCAGGTGGGGAACTACAAGCGTGCCGTCAAGCGGATTGACGACGGCCACCGGCTCTGCAATGACCTCATGGGCTGCCTTCAAGAACGTGCCAAGATTGAGAAGTCCTATGGTGACCAGCTGACCGCCTGGTCCAAGAGATGGAGACAGCTGATCGAGAAAGGCCAGTATTGGGATTGGAGGGGTTCAATCAATGAACCAAACCCTACTGTGTTGATTAGAAGCTACTCATATGGTGGTGTCTGTTTTGAGGTCTTCATCCAATGTTAAATTCATTTGATTTAACTCACTGCTCAGCTCCACTTGTCCCGATTGTATTGTGAGTGTTTTCTGTAAGATGATGAGGCTTAGCTTGTGCGAGCTGGAACGGCTCATAGGAGCAGGAGCCTATCTCTTGTTTCTGTAGCGTGAGGCAGCTTGATGTACAAGTACACCCCCTGGACAGGACGATAGTCTATCGCAGGGCCTTACCCCCAATCTATCTCCTTAATGCTGAAGGACAAGCAGAGACGCATCGGGTCCCATTTCTACAGTCTTTGGTATGACTCGGTTGGGGATCGAACTCCCAACCTTCCAATCTCAGGGTGGACACTAACCACAAGGCCACTGAGTTGGTCACATTCATATTTTCAATCATATTTTCTTCCACCTATATGTTTTGATTGAATGTCCCCCTGTGATATTGTCTAACCCCAGGACCCCAGTATGGCACTGTGGAGAGGGCGTGGCTGGGTGTGATGACCGAGGCTGAAAAGGTGAGTGAGCTGCACCAGGAGGTGAAGAACAGCCTGCTCAACGAAGACCTGGAGAAGGTCAAGAACTGGCAGAAGGAGGCCTACCACAAGCAGATGATCGGAGGCTTCAAGGAGGCCAAAGAGGCCGACGAGGGCTTCAAGAAGGCCCAGAAACCATGGGCCAAGAAGCTCAAAGAGGTAAGTGGACAGGAAGGGAAGGGAATCTGTTGTATCCTCCTTATTGCAACATCATGTGTACTTGCATTGCTAACATGAATATCAATAACTTTTAGAGTGATCGGGAAAACCACTTTATTATTAAATACAAAGTGGACAATTCAGTGACTGTATGAATGTGAGTAGGTATTTGACACACTTGGCTGTCTTCATGACTGACCTCTGAGACTACAACTGGTTGATTAGTCCATTTGGTTGTGCGTCAGTCTGTCTGGCTACAAAGGTACTGCATGGGGGTAGGATGGGTGACGCAGACATTACACAGCTGTCATTGGACTGGGACCCACTGGAGTCAGGCCTAATAGTGTTTAGGCCAACATTAAAACATTGGCCATTTGAGCTACCAAACAGCTAGGTACTATAGCTACAGCACCGGAGAAGATGGCTGCCGTTTTACAGCCCTCTAACCAATTGTACTATTATGTGTGTTTTTCCGCGTTATTTGTAATTTATTTTGTACATAATGTTTCTGCCATCGTCTCTTATAACCAAAAAGAGCTTCTGGATATCAGGACAGCGATTACTCACCTCCTATTGGACGAAGATTTTTTCTTCAACGAGGCGGCCGCGAAGGATATCATACAGACACCCGACAAGGCCCAAATCCCCGTCATTCGCGTGAGGAAGAGACGGAGATATCGTGGACGTAGATCGGGGTGCCTTGTAAGGATCCGACGGCGAGCGAGTAAACTGCCTCTTCCATCAATCCTATTAGCCAATCTTCAATCATTGGATAACAAATTGGATGACCTAAGATTACGGTTATCCTACCAACGGGACATTAAAAACTGTAATATCTTATGTTTCACCGAGTCGTGGCTGAACGACGACATGGATAACATACAGCTAGCGGGCTATACGCTACATCGGCAGGATAGAACGGCTGACTCCGGTAAGACAAGGGGTGGCGGTCTGTGTATATTTGTAAACAACAGCTGGTGCACAAAATCAAATACTAAGGAAGTCTCGAGGTTTTGCTCGCCTGAGGTAGAGTATCTTATGATAAGCTGTAGACCACACTATTTACCAAGAGAGTTTTCATCTATATTTTTCATAGCTGTCTATTTACCACCACAAACCAATGCTGGCATTAAGATTGCACTGAATGAGTTGTACAAGGCCATAAATCAACAGGAAAACGCTCATCCAGATGCAGCGCTCCTAGTGGCCGGGGACTTTAATGCAGGGAAACTTAAATCCGTTCTACCTAATTTCTACCAGCATGTTAAATGTGCAACCAGAGGAAAAAAAACTCTAGACCACCTTTACTCCACACACAGAGACGCATACAAAGCTCTCCCTCGCCCTCCATTTGGCAAATCTGACCATAACTCTATCCTCCTGATTCCTGCTTATAAGCAAAAACTAAAGCAGGAAGCACCAGTGACTCGGTTAATAGAAAAGTGGTCAGATGACGCAGATGCTAAGCTACAGGACTGTTTTGCTAGCACAGACTGGAACATGTTCCGGGATTCTTCAGACAGCATTGAGGAGTACACCACATCAGTCACTGGCTTCATCAATAAGTGCATCGATGATGTCGTCCCCACAGTGACCGTACGTACATACCCCAACCAGAAGCCATGGATTACAGGAAACATCCGCACTGAGCTAAAGGGTAGAGCTGCCACTTTCAAGGAACGGGACTCTAACCCGGACGCTTATAAGAAATCCCGCTATGCCCTCCGACGAACCATCAAACAGGCAAAGAGTCAATACAGGACTAAGATTGAATCGTACTACACTGGCTCTGACGCTCGTCGGATGTGGCAGGGCTTGAAAACTATTACAGACTACAAAGGGAAGCACAGCCGCGAGCTGCCCAGTGACACAAGCCTACCAGACGAGCTAAACCACTTCTATGCTCGCTTCGAGGCAAGCAACACTGAAGCATGCATGAGAGCACCAGCTGTTCCGGATGACTATGTGATCACGCTCTCCGTAGCCGATGTGAGTAAGACTTTTAAGCAGGTCAACATTCACAAGGCCGCAGGGCCAGACGGATTACCAGGACGTGTACTCCGAGCATGTGCTGACCAACTGGCAAATATCTTCACTGACATTTTCAACATGTCCCTGACTGAGTCTGTAATACCAACATGTTTCAAGCAGACCACTATAGTCCCCGTGCCCAAGGACTCTAAGATAACCTGCCTAAATGACTACCGACCCGTAGCACTGACGTCTGTAGCCATGAAGTGCTTTGAAAGGCTGGTCATGGCTCACATCAACAGCATTATCCCAGAAACCCTAGACCCACTCCAATTTGCATACCGCCCCAACAGATCCACAGATGATGCAATCTCTATTGCACTCCACACTGCCCTTTCCCACCTGGACAAGAGGAACACCTACGTGAGAATGCTATTCATTGACTACAGCTCAGCATTCAACACCATAGTGCCCTCTAAGCTCATCACTAAGCTAAGGATCCTGGGACTAAACACCTCCCTCTGCAACTGGATCCTGGACTTCCTGACCCCCAGGTGGTAAGGGTAGGTAACAACACATCTGCCACACTGATCCTCAACACGGGGGCCCCTCAGGGGTGCGTGCTCAGTCCCCTCCTGTACTCTCTGTTCACCCATGACTGCATGGCCAGGCACGACTCCAACACCATCATTAAGTTTGCCGACGACACAACAGTGGTAGGCCTGATCACCGACAACGATGAGACAGCCTATAGGGAGGAGGTCAGAGACCTGGCCGTGTGGTGCCAGGACAACAACCTCTCCCTCAACGTGACCAAGACAAAGGAGATGATTGTGGACTACAGGAAAAAAAAAGAGGACTGAGCACGCCCCCATTCTCATCGACGGGGCTGTAGTGGAACAGGTTGAGAGCTTCAAGTTCCTTGGTGTCCACATCACCAACGAACTATCATGGTCCAAACACACCAAGACAGTCGTGAAGAGGGCACGACAAAGCCTATTCCCCCTCAGGAGACTGAAAAGATTTGGCATGGGTCCTCAGATCCTCAAAAAATTCTACAGCTGCACCATCGAGAGCATCCTAACTGGTTGCATCACCGCCTGGTATGGCAACTGCTTGGCCTCCGACCGCAAGGCACTACAGAGGGTAGTGCGTACGGCCCAGTACATCACTGGGGCCAAGCTTCCTGCCATCCAGGACCTCTATACCAGGCGGTGTCAGAGGAAGGCCCTCAAAATTGTCAAAGACTTCAGCCACCCTAGTCATAGACTGTTCTCTCTGCTACCGCACGGCAAGCGGTACCGGAGTGCCGGTACCGCTTATGCATAGTCACTTTAACTCTACCCACATGTACATATTACCTCAACTACCTCAACTAGCCGGTGCCCCCGCACATTGACTCTGCAACGGTACCCCCCTGTATATATAGCCTCCCTACTGTTATTTTATTTTACTTCTGCTCTTTTTTTTCTCAACACTTTTTTTGTTGTTGTTTTATTTTATAAATGCACTGTTGGTTAAGGGCTGTAAGTAAGCATTTCACTGTAATGTCTGCACCTGTTGTATTCGGCGCATGTGACCAATAAAATGTGATTTGATTTGATTTATGTGTTAGTTCTGTTTTGTGTACCATAATGACTCTTGCTGCGTCACTCATCCAAGCTGAGCATCAGAGAAGAACATTGCCCTTGCAACAATAACTAAATTAAGCCACCGGCATGCTTAGATTTAATAGTATTTTTACTATTTATCTATAGGGATACTAAGATTCTATACGTGCTTCCACAGATGGAGACTGCTAAGAAAACGTACCACATGGCGTGTAAGGAGGAGAAACTGGCCGCAACCCGAGAGGCAGACGGGAAGACACAGGCCTCCGTCACAACTGACCAGCAGAAGAAACTCCACGAGAAAACAGACAAGTGCAAACATGACGTGCAGAAGGTGAGACAGCGAGGCTCAGGGTCCAACAAATGGAAAAAAATGACATGACAACCTTTTTTGTACAAATGTATGAAAATGTAAGACTTCCAGCAGAATTTACGCCATACAATTTGACGTTGTGCATATCAAACATTTACATTTACATTTTAGTCATTTAGCAAACACTCTTATCCAGAGTGACTTACAGTTGGTGCATTCACCTTAAGATAGCTAGGTGAGACAACCACAACCAAACAGGTGACAATTCAATTTTATCTAGTGTCATTCCAACTGTTTGAAAATATATATAGTGCTATTAACACTGTGGTGAGTGTGTGTGCTATTGCAGTATACTAAGTACATCATATCTCAAACAGACTGATCATTATTTTGAGTATCTGTTTCTGTTAGTGGCTCAAGTGAAATAAAGCTGTGAAAAAACAGAATCAATGCAGGACTATTTAGGACGACTCAGTGAGATTACCGTGGTGATCACACAGGACATAATCCAGCAGGGTGGATCTCCCACTATTCACGGAGCCCTGGTAATGACAAAAGCAGATTACTCTGAGCCAGGGAGAGTAAGGTGCTTACAGTATAAACATACGGTGTACGGATGCAGGTTGCTTGGTATTCAACCCAGAGTGCAAAATGTCTGATTGTAATGGCGTCATAATGACATCATTATCTGTCAGAGCTGATGTTGTCCTTATCATCCCCCAGGCTAAGGAGAAGTATGAGAAGTCTCTGTCGGAGCTGAGTGCTGTCACGCCCCCATACCAGGAGAGCATGGAGCAGGTGTTTGACCAGTGCCAGCAGCATGAGGTCAAGAGGCTCACCTTCCTCAAGGAGATCCTGCTGGACATTAAACGCCACCTCAATCTCACTGAGAACCAAAGGTCAGTGACTGGTGTTGTCCTCTATCGTCCCATACTTACTGTAGCCCATGCTCTATTACATAACCTATATCAACCTATCTTCCCACATGGCCTTTGAATGAAAGGGTTACAGAGGAAAACATTTCAGTTGGTACAGTATCAGACCTGTGTTCAAATACTATTTAGGGTATTTCAATTACTTTTAAAGACATTTTGAAGTAAATATTTTGATATTTTTTCTTGGAAAATAAAAGTAGTTGAATATTGGAATGTCTTTGGAAATACACTTGGAAAAGTATTGGCGTATATTTCAAAATACACAGACACAGAAAAGTATATTTTCAAATGCAGATATTTAAATACTCAATGCATTCGAACCCAGGTCTGTTTGGTCGTAGGGGTATTTGAAATAATGTAATTGGAAATACAGTATGTACGCTGTATACTGTACAAGCCTGGGTTAAAACACATGAGTATTTAAGTATTTGTTATTTAAATGTTTATTTTCTGAGTATTTATAAATAATGTGGCCAAATCAGCTACTTCTATTTGAAGTATTTGAAAATAATTTCAAATAACCTTCTATAAATAGCCAAGACGATTTACTTACAGTGCATTCGGAAAGTATTCAGACCTCTTCACATTTTGTTACGTTACAGCCTTTTTCTAAAATGGATTAAATCATGTTTTTTCATCATCAGTCTACACACAATACCCCAAAATGACAAAGCGAAAACAGGTTTTTAGAAATTTTTGCAAATGTATTACAAATAAAAAACAGAAATACCTTATTTACATAAGGATTCAGACCCTTTGCTATGAGACTCGAAATTGAGCTCAGGTGCATCCTGTTTCCATTTATAATTTTTTATTTTATTGTATTTTTATTTAACCTTTATTTAACTAGGCAAGTAAGTTAAGAACTAATTCTTATTTACAATGATGGCCTAAATCCTTTAGATGTTTCTACAACTAGATTTTAGTCCACCTGTGGTAAATTCAATTGATTGGACATGATTTGGAAAGGCACACACACCTGTCTATATAAGGTCCCATGTTGACAGTGCATGTCAGAGGAAAAACCAAGTCATGAGGTTGAAGGAATTGTCCGAGACAGGATTGTGTCGAGGTACAGATCTGGGGAAGGGTATCAAAAAATGTCTGCAGCATTGAAGGTCCCCAAGAACACAGTGGCCTCCATCATTTTTAAATGGAAGAATTTTGGAACCACCAAGACTCTTCCTAGAGCTGGCCGCCTGGCCAAACTGAGCAATCAAGGGAGAAGGGCCTTGGTCAGGGAGGTGACCAAGAACCCGATGGTCACTCTGTGGAGATGGGAGAACCTTCCAGAAGGACAACCATCTCTGCAGCACTAATCAGGCCTTTATGGTAGAGTGGCCAGACGGAAGCCACTCCTCGGTAAAAGGCACCTGACAGCCCGCTTGGAGTTTGCCAAAAGGCACCTAAAGGACTCTCAGACCATGAGAAACAAGATTCTCTGGTCTGATGAAACCAAGATTAAACTATTTGGCCTGAATGCCAAGCATCACGTCTGGAAGAAACCTGGCACCATCCCTACGGTGAAGCATGGTGGTGGCAGTATCATGCTGTGGAGATGTTTTTCAGCGGCAGGGACTGGGAGACTAGTCAGGATCAAGGGAAAGATGAACGGAGCTAAGTACAGAGAGATCCTTTAATGAAAACCTGCTCCAGAGTGCTCAGGACCTCAGACTCGGGCAAGGTTCACCTTCCAACAGGACAACGACCCTAAGCACACAGCCAAGACAATGCAGGAGTGGCTTCAGGACAAGTCTCTGAATGTCCTTGAGTGGCCCAGCCAGAGCCCGGACTTGAACCCGATCGAACATCTCTGGAGAGACCTGAAAATAGCTGTGCAGCGACGCTCCCCATCCAACCTGACAGAGGTTAAAAGGATCTGCAGAGAAGAATGGGAGAAACTCCCCAAATACAGGTGTGCCAAGTTTGTAGCGTCATACCCAAGAAGACTCGAGGCTGTAATCGCTGCCAAAGGTGCTTCAACAAAGTAAAGGGTCTGAATACTTATGTAAATGTGATATTACAGTTTTTTTTTTTTTTTACAAACATTTCTTAAAACCTGTTTTTGCTTCGCCATTATGGGGTATTGTGTGTAGATTGATGAGGGGAAAAAACGATTTCATCCATTTTAGAATAAAGCTGTAACGTAACAAAATGTGGAAAAAGTCTAGGGTTCTTTCCGAAAGCACAATATAATGAAATTGGTTTCATTTACACAACAGCAAATCTGCCTTGACAAACAAATCTACATTAGTGTAGCTAATTACAGCATTGATCTCTTTAAGTGCTTATCTGCATTATTTTCTGTTATTAGTTGAGTCTATGGATTATTTTAAATATCACATTCAGAGGGAATCTACTCCCAATGTGCTTGATTTATGATGTCGCTTTCATTACAGTTAATTTCAAATAGATTAATTTCAACACATTTCAGTCTTTCGGTCACAACACCAATTACGCTGATGATGCAGTTAATGACATTTCAGCCAAATTGCACCATGTCAGAGGTAATGCTTGTCATATTCTTGGCTGTGAATCACATTGCATGTGATACAAAGCCAGGTTCCATGGTGATTGGAATAAGGAGTTCATTCAAGCTGTTTCCTGGGTGTTTGGTCTTGGTTTATGATTAGTATGGAGGATGAGTGCATGCTTTTATAGTGTGGTGTGGAGTACTAAGAACACTGGCCTTTCGGACCACAGTATTGGTGATACATAAATCAACCATAGACAGGGAATGGTAAGCTAGCAACTACAAATCCAGGCCTCAGCTCCCTCTAATACACTCATGCAAATACAGACAGCGTGTCTCAGTGACAGCAGTGAAAGCAGAAAAATCCCTTTTAACTTGAATCGTCCATTTGATTGTCCATCATAGCATCTTACGCTTATATTTTTTGCAATATCACCCATGAAATGTCATCATCTGTAGAGCTTGACTGTCAGTGATTCTGTGTTTCTGTCTCCACCTTCTGGTGGAATAATGCTGTCTGTCGTGACTCTACCTCATATCTCACTACGCCAATTTGAATGCAAATGTGCTGTGTGTGTTCTGTGTAGCCTCACCTCATGTTATGAATTGGCCCGAATTACCTTGTCTTTGAACCATTCCACTCTGTTGTTCTGAGTACTGGAGCTTCATAAACAACTAGAAACCCTCCAGGAAAACAGCACCATCAGCGCTGGACAGTTGGCACTGGCAGCCCTACTGTATTATTGTCCCTTAAACAGGCCCCCTCTCTCTCTGCGTGTCACAATGTGCTCTCTGTCCTCCTCTCCCCAGCTATGGCACGGTATACAGAGAACTGGAGCGCACCATCCTGGGTGCCAACACACAGGAGGACCTGCAGTGGTTCAGCAACCACCATGGCCCTGGCATGCATATGAACTGGCCCATGTTTGAGGTACTGTACTCTGCATTACATCAACATAGTTGTCTGTTCAGGAATATTTATAACAACATGTAGGCTAGCAAAGGTTCAGGTATTTATATACATTTCTCCCCAGATACAAGCATGCATTTTTAATAACACAGTTCAATACAGTTGCTTGTAGTTGGAAGATTGTTGATTTACTGACTGATGTAAAAGGAAAAGTTAAGGCCATTGGCCAGATCTGAGTCTCCGCTTCAGTATAGACTTTCAGAAGTATTTATCCTCTGCTCTGCCTTCCAGGACTACAACCCAGATGCCACTGCTGCTGTTGTTAAAAGGGAGAAGGTGCAGAAGCCGGCTGGGGCCCCACCAACCCCCAGCACTGACCATGTCGCACCGCCTGGAGACCGCGGCAGGTGAGAGGACCACTCCACTGGTCAAACTACTACTGACAAACACACACACACACACACACACACACACACACACACACACACACACACACACACACACACGCCAGGGTTCATCAATATCTCTCATGATGCCATATAATTTGTTTTTCTATCTTCCTTCAATTGATCAGCATCAGCACTGATCATGTGGCACTGCCTGGTGACCGTGGCAGGTGAGAGGACCACAACACTGATCAAACACTACACACACCATCTACTGCCACACACCATCTACTGCCACACACACCATATACTGCCACACACACCATCTACTGCCACACACCATCTACTGCCACACACCATGACTGCCACATACCATCTACTGCCACACACACCATCTACTGCCAAACACCATCTACTGCCACACACACCATCTACTGCCAAACACCATCTACTGCCACACACACCATATACTGCCAAACACCATCTACTGCCACACACCATTATTTTTATTTTTTATTTTTAGTCATTTAGCAGACGCTCTTATCCAGAGCAACTTACAGGAGCAATTAGGGTTAAGTGCCTTGCTCAAGGGCACATCGACAGGTTTTTCACCTAGTCGGCTCGGGCATTAGAACCAGCGACCTTTCGGTTACTGGCACAACGCTCTTAACCACTAAGCTACCTGCCGCACCATCTACTGCCAGACTCACCATCTACTGCCAAACACCATCTACTGCCACACACACCATCTACTGCCACACACCATCTACTGCCAAACACAATCTACTGCCACACACCAGGTACTGCCAAACACCAGGTACTGCCAAACACCATCTACTGCCACACACACCATCTACTGCCAAACACCATCTACTGCTACACCGGGACCTACCCTAGTCAAACCATTTAAATGGCATCATACACCCTGGGATCTAACATGCCTTTTGTTTGCTGTCTCCATTTAATTAACTGGATATATATTGATTATATATATGTCTTTCATTTACTCTGTTAATTACAGTTGCTCTAGTATACAGTAGTCTTGTTTGTATTTTTCATGAAATTCTCCTGATCAAACCAATGTATCTTCCTAACCGTTCTGTTGCAGTGTGAGCAGTTATGAAAAGAACCAGGCCTACTCCACTGATTGGTCCGATGATGAGGCGCCTGCAGCCCATTCAGGCGGTGAGACCAACGGGGGTGGGAATGAAAACTCCTTTGAGGAAGACTCTGGCAGTGCCGGAAAAGGGGGTGCTGGGACCGGAACTGCGTCTGGGGTCCGGGTGCGTGCTCTGTATGATTATGACGGACAGGAACAAGATGAGCTCACCTTCAAAGCTGGTAAGCAACAACAACACTTCACCATCTTTGATGTCTCTTGATTTGGCTACGATGTATTTCCAGTTTAACCCTATTCTTGGCCCTAAGATTTGAGTCCAACAGTGCAGTTTAGCTCAACTATCAGTAGCTCAATTGGTATAGCATGGCGCTTGTAACGCCAAGGTAGTGGGTTCGATCCCCGGGACCACCCATACGTAAAAATGTATGCACACATGACTGTAAGTCGCTTTGGATAAAAGCGTCTGCTAAATGACATATTATTATTATTATTATTACCACATGGTTTATTATGGCCAAGCTGACTTGATAGGGGGGTGGAGATGAGGTCACAGGAAATGACCTGCTATCTTTGTGCATTCCATTCCAAAGCCACTCTATTCCCAGAGGAAGATAGTAGTGATTAGTCAATAATGGCCACATTCTACTTCCTCCAATTACAGGCACCTGCTAGTCATTAGCAATTGTCTTCTGACTGTCCCTATATTAGAGGGTGTTAGTAGGGCCTTCATAACAACATGATGCACATCCTGCCTGATCTTTGCTAATAGTGACATGATAAAGGAAAGAACAAAGATGTCTAAATGTACTATTGACCATAATATTGTTCAGTCGTGGAAAGAGCATAGAATGCATGTTGATTAAGGAGATGTACATATGTTCTTCACAGGTGATGAACTGACCAAGACTGAGGATGAAGATGACCAAGGCTGGTGTCGAGGTCGCCTGGATACAGGCCGAGAGGGACTGTACCCGGCCAATTACGTTGAGGAGATTTAATGACCCCAGAGGAGGAGGATATGCCATTGGAGGCAGCTCAGACTGTCCCATCCAATCGCACTGCACATAGCCAGAGACTTACGAACAACACATCCCTTGCCCAACAGATGCGCCAAGCAGTCTTGACTAAATATAATCTTAGTAACGTAAGAAAAGACAATATATAAATATTATATTTATCCAGTATTTGAGGTGGGGAGGATTTAAACACTAAAACAGGAGCAGCATTTATTCCAGTCTTCACAAACTCAAACATAACATTGAGCCAATGCAGGGACACATTTTGCATATCTGTGCTGTGTTTGATATAAAGATCATGCAGATGATGTAACTTTTTTTTTGCACTACATTCTCCTGTAACAGTGTGACAATAATGTAACCAATTATACCTACCTACCCGTTTAACCAGAACAAGCTACTAAGCCTACATTGTGTATATATGGCGCCATTTTGTGTAGCATTTTCAATGCTGTGTGTTCAGTCCTCATGCTTACATTGGGAATGCTGTGTATTGTTAAAAGTACCACAAAATGTATCCTAGATTTTATTATTTAATTTTTTGTGATTTGGTCTAATCCCTTTTACCAGTGTGTGCATTGCTACAGTATGTGTTTATCTCTGTTTCTCAGTTGGTTTGCTGTAGCAGCATGTGCTATGCAACATGCTTTCCCTAAACCTCCAAGCCATATTAAGGCTACAAGATGCAACAAATCCGCTGATATGAAAACCAATGCAGAGGATCAGAGTTCACCATTAGACACAGACAAAGCATTGGAATAGCACCACAAGCTTGTGTCTGACTTCATAGCCGGAAGTGGAGTTGGTGTATAGACAATTTTTCTCTCTTCCCATCACCACCCTTGAATCATAACATCTAATTTCAATTAATTGCAGGGTATTATCTAGAATTCTGTATTTTCTTGGTCAGTAGGCAAGATATTATCACCAGCTTTCTTTTATTTTATCTGTCAGTGCTGACAAGAAAGATTTGATTGTTCAGGTGATGTAATCAGGCATATTAAATGTAAATGTAGTTGTTTTCAGGATATAGGAAAAATGGTTTTGAACTATGTTCGTGTTTGATTCTTGTCTCCTGGTAAGATAGGGGCATCAATCTTGATGGTGCCATGCTGCAGATCCTGGTCTTAAAATGGGAATGTGGACATGAATGTAGTTGTAGGGGCCTGGAAGGAGACATGCTGTTTTTAACTAGGCATGTTGTATTCCACTGTCATAGAGAACCCTACAAGGCAAAAAGCACTTATGAGCCCATTCACCTGGGGCCCGATTCTGACTTAGGAAATGTATGCCCTTTCCTACACATGCCTTTCCTATGCACTACTCAGTAGTTGGTATTCATACTTACCTTGTGAAGGGGCGTCACGGGCTTTGCAGGCGTGGTTCCCTTGTGCGCGCTGAATACATTTAATTCAACCGCTAAAAAAAACCTCCCACTTGCTGGCCAACAGATTTTCTCGTGCAGTTTACATTCAATAGGGTTTTCAGTACATTTATCTTAAGCCATCCCTTTAAATACGGTGTACCTTTAATTAGAACTTTGTCAACAGACTAGAATACATGGAGAGAAGGGGTTCAGAATATAGGGATCAATGAAAGAAAGCCATCTAAATATATGCATATTCATCTCCGTTTCAGCACCAACTGGTAGATTTAAAAATACTCTGTTCTTGTAGATTATTTAGGCAACTTGTAGGGTTAGGAAAGTATGTATGAATAATTTTTTGTAAAAAGTTTTGGGAACCTTTATGCACTAAATATATTGATGACTCAAAAATACAGTGGTTTGATTCATTCTGAAGGTTGTCATATTCAAGTTCAATCCATGAAATATTGGAAGGTGTAATAATTTTTTAATAAAGGTTGAACAATAGTCCTATAAATCTACCCTAATTCTCACTAATCATGGAACTGTATGACAATGGTCCAGTCGTTGTGAACTGTGCGCGAGGCTCCAGGTTTAACCTGCTATGTGTGGTCTGAGTTCCATAATGATTCAAATAGGCTACATGTCCCAAATTATTGCACAATGTTAGCCTAATATGATCCACTAATGCTAGCGAGCCTCAGGAACAACTACACAGACGTGGCAGAGGAAAGAAAGGTAAATAGAATGGAATTGAATGATGCAAAATGTAGGCTACACATTTTTGAAAAACGGAACACTAAAGTGACAGTTATAAATGTATGTGGGTATTACTGACGGTGCCTCCCGATAGTGGCTAATATTTAACATTATACAAATTGTAAAATAAAAAGGAGAAAATACCGGGTATATAATTAAAACATTCTAATGTGTATACATCATCAACTAGGCAAGTTCAGCCCTACAGAAGCCTATAGCTTGGGTCTCCAAATTTCATCCACACAAATTATTAGGTACACAATTAAATCTGTAAATAATGTCCCAGCTATTTATAGCCTATTTCACTGTGGAAAAGAGGCAGCAATACATGTCATGTTGATATGATTTTCAGTTTGCTTCCATATGGCTGGTTTCACATTCGTCTCCAGGGATCATAAGGAAAAATTATCTAAAACATTTTCTATGTGTATTTACAATCCCCTTCTCCAAACGGATTACTCATTTACCTAGATCTTATCAATAGCTATTATCTATTTATAAATTACAGTGCATGGAGAATGCTTTTTCCAATTGGAACCGGTAGGTTCGCTACAGATTATTCATGGTTTCCTCGCGCGTAAAGGTAGTGGAATTATTAAGGAATTATGTCAAGGTCAGAATACGGTGTATCTGTAGACACACCTTAATTTCTTAGATCTCTACCCCGAACGAATAGCGGGTGAATAGCATGATATTCTCATGCTTAAGTTCAAGGTCAGAATATGCAAAGAGAGAAAAGTGCATAAAAATGGAATTAGGTTCCATTTACGCGCATTTAACTCGGGTCAGAATGACCGAAATCTGAAATGCATAAAATGATTTTCTCCATGCAATAACTCCCATATCACAAAACCCTGTCATACAACTAACTGCTTCCTGTTGTCTCAGTATTTCTTTGATCATTTAATATGTGGTCCACAGGGGGAAGACGAGCGCATACCACAGTGACTACAGTATATCAGAAATAATGTATTTGTCAGCAGTAATTAACTCTACTTTAGATTGCTCCTGGTAGTATACTTCACATGCACACACCTAACTCAGCCCCTGCTTTAAATATATATACTGTATATACAGAAAATACTACAGTAACGTTACTTGCTGAGAAATCTAGCTTATCAGATGTCCGATGCAAATATTGTTGCCAATGGTGGGCTATCTAAATCAGACATGCAATAATGTTGTGAGAGCAGAATGCTTTGCACAGAACATGGGTCATGGACATGAGGTTAGACCTCAAGTTTTATGTCATAGAACATTTATGTAGTGGCAAGATGTGTTTAGGTTATGGATTCAGAGGAGAATTCACCAGGTCTTGGTTTCACTGTTGAGAGAACACATCACCTGCTCACAAGTTATGTGTCTTAGTGTAAGCTGCCTAGCAAAAATAACTAATATCATCGAATGATCTTATATCCTTTACACACACACACACACACCTCGAGTAGATCTTTTTGGGGAAAACAAACATCTTTATCATCCAGCGTGTATGAGTTGTGTAATTGTAAAGAGAAAAAAAAAGGACAAAAATGCAAGTGATCAATTACTAAGACAAAATGTAGTGTCATACATGCAAATGTGTTACAACAAAATAACAGCAATGGAAAGCATATTAAGTAATAGGTACCATATCGTATGAATTGCATCGCAGTGGAATTGTCAATGTACCATATAAGAGCGTGATGTTACCCCACGCTGTCAGATTTGTATATGATGATGTAATTTAAGGATTATATTCTATTGTAACTGTACAACTGTGTTGAGTTGGAAATTAAACCTAACTACGTTGAGGCAGTAAAAATGGTGTATATGTAAATGTTTTTTATGTTGATTTTTCTCTTCCTTATGCACACAATGGGGCAACGGCTCATGTTGTGAAACCCCTGTATTAGCAGACGTATGTATGTTTATAGTTAGTGATGTAATTGTATCTCCTAACTGGTGTAGTGCCTGTTCATCTTAATGTTACACAAGGTTCATTTAAATATGCATAAAGATTATTATGATTATGATAATAATTATGATATTCTGAATCAAAGTTATTGTGATGGTGTCAATATTACGATATTGGTTTGAAAGGGGAAAACAAGTTTGTTGAGAATACAAACAAAACGTTTTGTGTCTGTGTGTGTTTTTTGAATGGATTTTGACTGTGCGTTATGGGTTATGGTATGCTTGATGAAAAAAGCATAAAAACACACATTATTATGTCATGTTATTTTAAACACATTCAGTATTTAAATACATTCTTACACACAGATTCTCATTTATAAATATTCAATATTATATTCCAACATTTGTATGTATCCAGTCACTAATCTCTGTCACTGGTGTTCGTCTCTACATACAGATCCTAGCACTTGAAATGTGGCAGTGGTATTGAAATGCTTATATTACAGTAGTTCACTGTATTTACACATTTCTATTAGACTTTATTCTTCCACCAGGGAATGGGCACTGGAGTCAAATCATTTCTCTTCAATTCAATGAGATCGGTGATATTACAAATGTACATCAGGATCATAATTGGCCCTATGTGGTAAACAGCTGTGACTGTGACCTATGAAGTGGCCTTAACATTGGACTACTACTAGAGATCAGTAGTGAACATATTAAATCCATTCTATAGTACATTACATATTCACCATAGCTTAGTCCCCTGTAGTTTCCAAAGCAAGCTTCAGAGAACTAATTATGTCAATGTAACATGTGTAAGTGCTATGGGTTGTAAGGAGGGACATGTTGAAATGTAAATGGCACTAAAAAGAGCAACCATTACAAATGAAAAAATAAATAGTAGCAGATGTACTGGTGATTCATGTGAGTTCATAATCAGAGAAAAAGTAAACAAACATGGAATTGATATTTGTGAAAATGAAATATTGGACAATTAAATATAAAAATTGTTTAAACAATATTGGAAATGTAAAACATTACATATCTAATGCAACGTGACAATAAATCCCCATATGCAATCAGGTTACACATAAGAATATTGAAATTAGGCAGGAGTGCACAATGCAGGAGGCAGTCTATACAGTGCATTGTTTTTGCTGGAGCTAAAACAGCAGTTAGAGGCTTTTTTTCATTTAGTTGTCAACAGTCATCATCACCACTCGTCTTCTCCTCTTCTGGCTGGCTGCTCCACAGCTTCATACAGGGTGGACAAACTGATAGACCAGTCTCTGGGACACATCAGGTTTGCGGATGATACCCTTCTTGTAGTACTGTCGGATAGAGCGACTCAGCTTGTCATAGTTCATAGCTGGACGGTTCTTCCTGAGGCCCCATAACCTGGCCACATGAGCCGAGTTTTCAATTTTGAAGATACCTGATGAATATAGGAAAAATAGAATGCAAGAGATGGAACATTTCACCTTTTTCAGCAACCAATGGACAATAAGCCCCAAATAACCCAAGTCAGCTCCCATGGCCAAATTCTCTCACCCTTACAGTGTACATTTTAGGACACCCTCAGCCTTAAAACCCCCATGCAGTCTTTTTATTTTTAAATCATCACTATATGTCTAATAAATCACTGTGTGTGTTTATTTCATGAAAATAATTCCAAATATATTTTTATAATTTATTTCCCTGAGCCTCCTTTTGCCATTGAAATGCTCAGTCTGATCCTGTGGGCATGTTTATAGAAATGTAAATATATTTATATACACCGCCCTGATTGGCCCATAGGATCGTCTTGAATCTAGAGCCTACCCAGCTTACCCTTTCAAAGTAGGAGGAATCATATGCAAATAAAAGATGACTGGTCATTGGTCAGAATAATCAGATCAGATTGTGATGTCATGATCTGGGCCAAAAACTCTATCCCACCTGAACAGGCTGAAATTCCAGGCTTTTGTCTTGTTCTTTTTTTTGGCAGCTCTTACACAAAAAGGGCATAATCATCATTTTCACAATTTCAGTGTTATTTTGACCTTGTAGTGTTGAATTAGCATTTTAAAAAACTGGAAAACCACATTTTTGACTTCACTGCCCCTTTAAACCCAGGAGTGTACCCTAACATGTACACCATACACCTGTCTGCCCTCTCCCACCTTTCCCCTGCCCACTCACCTTTCTCCTTGTTGAGCCAGCGGATGCATCGTCCATAGTTGTGTGGCTTGAGGAGCAGCTGTCTAAGGAACTGCCACAGGTGGATGGGCTGGCTTGAGCAGGAGGAATCAGCCTCTGGATACGTCTCCTCAGCATCATGTAACCTGGTATCTCCTGGTGTGCAGCACTCCTTCATGCACGCAGCTGTGACAAAAACATCATTGAACAGGATTACACATTTTGTTATCTCAACATAAGACTAAGAAAATACCTGAAAACTATAGCACAATCTATATAGTGAATAGCCAAGTAGTCCTTTGGCTTGTGGCTATAAAACATTCAATACTTTTCAATGGAATGACCCACACCATAAATGAAATACATGCCATATTATATACACTAAGTGTACAAAACATTAGGAACACCTGCTCTTTCCATGCCATAGACTGACCAGGTGAATCCAGGTGAAAGCTATGATCCCTTATTGATGTCAAATGTTAAATCCACCAATCAGTGTAGATGAAGGGGATGAAACAGGTTAAAGAAGGATTTTTAAGCCTTGAGAATATTGAGACATGGATTGTGTGTGTGCCACTCAGAGGGTGAATGGGCAAGACAAAAGATGTAAGTGCCTTTGAACGGGGTATGGTAGTATGTGCCAGGCGCACCGGTTTGAGTGTGTCAAGAACTGCAAGGCTGCTGGGTTTTTCACGCTCAACAGTTTCCCATGTGTATCAAGAATGGCCCACCACCCAAAGGACATCCAGCCAACTTGACACAACTGTGGGAAGCATTGGAGTCAACATGGGCCAGCATCCCCGTGGAATGCTTTCGACACCTTGTAGAGTCCATGCCTCGGCTATTCTGAGGGCAAAAGGGGGTGCAACTCAACATTAGGAAGGTGTTCCTAATGTTTTGTACACTCAGTGTATATATACCACAGTCCGAATAACGGATCCGTTCAAGGTTGTCAGTTGCCCTACCTGATCTCCAGATGTCCAGGTGCGCAAACAGCAGGTCTCCACACTGCATTGAGCGCTGCCTGAAGTCCTCCTCTGTCATGGAGCACAGGTCCTTCCCACTGAGCTCATGGAACACCTTGCCCACCTGGGGTAGTCTGTACAGGTGCTCCGTCCACAGCAGCCACTTCTGAACGTTCCCACAGTTCCACTCCATGGGTTCTGCAGAGGCGATGAAGTGTTGTAAGTAAGCATTTCACTGTAATGTCTACACCTGTTGTATTCAGCGCATGTGGCAAATACAATTTTATTTTATTTGATTCATGATTGACCAATCAATGTTAAACATTTATCCACAGCAAATTGTATCCATCATATATACAGTTACATACAATGGCACTGTTGGCACTCATGCAAATGCATAGGTTACCCATTTAAACGAAGGGTGGTGTATCTTTACGGGGGAGATGTGTGTGAGTGTACATTGTACTGTATGCAATTTCTGAACTCATATTTGTGTTCCCAATGACAGGTAGTGAGTGATTGAGCATGTGAAATGAAGCATGTGAAATGATGAATTGTCAACAGAGCCATTTGCACAGGGCGGGGAGGCCACAGACACTTCTGTCATTGCGCTTAGCCCAGCGTCAGTGGTATTCAAGTTTCAAGTTTCAACGTTTATTCAAGTTTTGAAGTTTATTCGCCATGTGCACAGGATACAACAGGTGTAAAACAGTACAGTGAAATTCTTACCTTGAGAGCTCTTTCCCAACAATGCAGTGATAATAATAATAATATATTATTAGCATAGAAGTCCTATTTATTACGATAAAAGTCGCAGTATAAAGAAAGGGCAACCTACAGTAAATGGTGACCTTTACTGTTTTGTTTGCTTTGATATAAGTAAGATCTGACAGTAGATAATGGGGTATTTCAACAGTGAGAGTATTGCACAAAAGGTTATATTTTCTCAGTGCTCTTTTATCCTTATTCTCTGTCAATCTACAGACAGTGACAGGTCCCATGTTCAACTGTGGTGAACATGACAGACCCTGAGACTGATGGAGACATGTTGTCTATCCCTTTTGGAGAACGTAACATATGATACGGTAGCATAGTTTACAGCACAGTAATAACAGTAATAATAACCATAATACCATGGTAACAATATGGTAACAAATTATAGGCACACAATAACTTCATAGTTAAACAGTTTTCTTACCTGGGGTAATGTTGAGCAGCTTGCAGGCGGTCTCTATGTCCTTCATTACCTCTCCCAACACCATGCTCTGGACCTGCTCTAGACAGCGTTCCTCCACCTGTCCCTCCAGCCCAGAGGGGACCCCCAATCCCAGGCCCACCCCCAGGCCCTGGCTGTCGATGACAGGGCACTGCTCCAGGGGCTTACAGGGGGGCTCAGGGGGCGCTGTCTCTTTCTTCTTCAACAGCCACGAGCTGTCTTCAGTGAGGAGCATGTCGGAGCAGGGCAGGAAGACTCCTTGCAGGCTACGTTCAGGAACAATGTGTTTAGGCACACTTATCAGTCCACGGGGCGGCTTGGTGTCCTCCTCCTCCCAGGCCCTCAGGGCAGACACACTGTAGGGGTAGTCATTGAAACTCATCAGGGGAAGGTGCACTGTGCGCCCCACGCGGTCACAGCCTGGACTCCCCATAGCTTCAACAGTGCTGGAGATCAGAAAGGAAGACTTTCATCAGGCATGTTATATAAAGGGATACACCAAAATATCCTTTCCGAATGTCTCATGAGGCATAATTGGAAACAATAGTGAACTCGATGGCAAACTGTTCATATATTGACATAGTAAATTACAGGTGTAAGAACAGTGTTTTTTTTTATCATGTCTGGTGACAAAACATTAACTGTCATCCAGAAGTGACACTTACAATTTTATATTCCCTTTGTTTGACTGACTTATTTTCCTTTACAATTCAAATGGCAAGCTTTTCCCTCAGACAGTGCTGTCTTAATGCTTCATTGAAACCATATCCAAATGTCAAAATATTTAAACAGTAGTAATCCTAAAGCAAACATGACATTTCATTAATGTTGTTTGTTCTGTTGGTACTTTCTTTGAAATGTTGAATTAACCAATCTCTTTTCATAAAAACAAGACTTCGTTATGTAGAGTAGCACGTTTGTGTATGGTGTGTAAGAATTTCAAAGGGCTGACTTTTTGTCATGTTATCAGTAACCTCTTCCCCTAGTCAGAGCTATAGAAACCCTGAAAGTCGCTGCAAGGCCAATGCAGACGCTGCATGGTCAATCTGATGTCTGCATTGGCCGTGCAGCATTTACGGTGATACGGCCTCCGCAGATGTCAGGGCATTCATACTTTAAGCGCTTCGCGGAGCAGCGCAGAGCTGTTGATCAGAGCTGTTGTGAGGGATGTTGTCAAGGAAGTGAGTTTGTGTTTATACAGGACCTCCCGCCCCCACCTACCACAAATAATGTACTTACATTCAGTAATCTTACTCTGATTTGTCATCCTAAGGGTCCCAGAGATCAAATGTAGCATAGTTTTGTTTGATAAAAGCCATTTTTATATCAAAATGTAGGAACTGGGTTCTACAGCTTGAACCCCTGCTGTCTCTGGCTCCACACCCACTCCGCCCGGCCATCTAGAGGTGTGAAGGTTAGTGTATAAGCTAATGATCCATCATGTATGACATTCCTGGGAGTGTTTAAACTTACATTTTGTACCACCATATCATTTTTATATGTTCTCTATAGTTATGTACTTGAAAATGTATCAATTGACCAATTCGGCACATTTGGGCAGACTTGATACAAAATAGTCCAGTATTGCAACGCTTCACTGGATCAATCTGAAACTTTGCGCGCACACTGCTGCCATCTAGTGGCCCAAATCGACATTGTGCCTAAACTGCAATATTATATTGTGGCCTTTCTCTTGCATTTCAAAGATGATGGAACAAAAAATAATAATAGAAAACGCATGTTTTTTTGTTTGTATTATTTTTTACCAGATCTAATGTGTTATATTCTCCTATATTAATTTCACATTTACACAAACTTCAAAGTGTTTCCTTTCAAATGGTATCAATAATATGCATATCCTTGCTTCAGGTCCTGAGCTACAGGCAGTTAGATTTGGGTATGTCAGTTTAGGCGAAAATGGGAAAAAAAAGGGTCCGATCCTTAAGAGGTTAATTGAAACGATAATAAAGAGGTCACCACTCTGTTTTGGTTTTTAAAAAAGCTGAAGGATGGGCCTGGAGGAATGTAACCACTTTCAAATTCATAGACAGAGCTATGGATGCAAGGACCGACCATCCATGATATCAAAATGATCGTTTTAACCATGTTTTAAGGCTATACAGCGCTTGTTTACCTTGACATCGTTTACAAACATTGGATTAAAACAAGCTTATATTTTGGGTTCTGATGGGGTAAACTCATGAGACATTTATAAGTTATATTCTTCGAGAAATCAGACCCCTTGACTTTTTCCACATTTTTTTACGTTACAGCCTTATTCTAAAATTGATTAAATAAAAGTTTTTCCTCATCAGTCTACACACAATACCCCATGACAAAGTGAAAACAGGTTTTTGAAAACAGAAATACCTTATTTACAAAAGTATTCAGACCCTTTGCCATGAGACTCTAAATTGAGCTCAGGTGCATCCTGTTTCCATTGATCATCCTTGAGATGTTTCTACAAATTTATTGGAGTCCACCTGTGGTAAATTCAATTGATTGGACATGATATGGAAAGGCACACACCTGTCTATATAAGGTCCCACAGTTGACAGTGCATGTCAGAGCAAAAACCAAGCCATGAGGTCGAAGGAATTCTCCATAGAGCTCCGAGACAGGATTGTGTCGAGAAACAGATCTGGGGAAGGGTAACAAAAAATGTCTGCAGCATTGAAGGTCCCCAAGAACACAGTGGCCTCCACCATTCTTAAATGGAAGAAGTTTGGAACCACCAAGACTCTTCCTATAGCTGGCCGCAATCAAGGGAGAAGGGCCTTGGTCAGGGAGGTGACCAAGAACCCGATGGTCACTCTGACAGAGCTCCAGAGTTCCTCTGTGGAGATGGGAGAACCTTCCAGAAGGACAACCATCTCTGTAGCACTCCACCAATCAGGCCTTTATGGTAGAGTGGCCAGACGGAAGCCACTCATCAGTAAAAGGCACAAGACAGTCCGCTTGGAGTTTGCCAAAAGGCACCTAAAGACTCTCAGACCATGATAAATAAGATTCTCTGGTCTGATGAAACCAAGATTAAACTCTTTGGCCTTGAATGCCATGCGTTACATCTGGAGGAAACCTGACAAAAACCCTACGGTGAAGCATGGTGGTGGTAGCATCATGCTGTGGGGATGTTTTTCAGTGGCAGGGACTGGGAGACTAGTCAGGATCAAGGGAAAGATGAACAAAGCGAAGTACAAAGATATCCTTGATGAAAACCTGCTCCAGAGCACTCAGGACCTCAGACTGGAGCGAAGGTTCACCTTCCAACAGGACAACGACCCTAAGCACACAGCCAAGACAACGCAGGAGTGGCTTCGGGACAAGTCTCTGAATGTCCTTGAGTGGCCCAGCCAGAGCCCAGACTTGAACCCGATCGGACATCTCTGGAGAGACCTGAAAATAGCGTTGCAGCGACGCTCCCCATCCAACCTGACAGAGCTTGAGAGGATCTGCAGAGAAGAATGGGAGAAACTCCCCAAATACAGGTGTGCCAAGCTTGTAGCGTCATACCCAAGAAGAGTTGAAGCTGTAATCGCTGCCAAAGGTGCTTCAACAAAGTACTGAGTAAAGGGTCTGAATACTGAATATTTCAGTTTTTTATTTTAAATGAATTCTAAAAACCTGTTTTTGCTTTGTCATTATGGGGTATTGTGTGTAGATTGATTAGGAAAAATAATAATTTCATCAATTTTAGAATAAAGCTGTAACAGAACAAAATGTGAAAGAAGTCAAGGGATCTGAATACTTTCCGAAGGCACTGTATGTCATTTACGTTTTTTTCAATCACTTTGGCAAATTTTTCATATGTATGTGGTGTATTTTCAAAACTCTACAAAACTCTAAACTGATAACACCTGTAATGTCCCTTATCTTATGTTCAGAACCCTTGATTAGAGTTAATAAAAACAATATGGTGCCGATACACATGGTCGCCTGGTTCCTGGCTCCTAAGCAACTTAGCAGTGTTTTTTTTTGTGTGTGTTATTCCTCACATTATCTTCACAAGCATTTCTCTACACCCGCAATAACATCTGCTAAATATGTGTATGCGACCAATAAAATTTGATTTGATTTTCGGTGAAATACCATGAGAACATTTTGTTTAGTCACCAATACATAAAATTTACATTTACGTCATTTAGCAGACGCTCTTATCCAGAGCGATTTAAAGTAGTGAGTGCATACAATTTTCATACTGGCCCCCCGTGGGAATTATTATTTTTTTTTATTTAATTTCACCTTTATTTAACCAGGTATGCCAGTTGAGAACAAGTTCTCATTTACAACTGCGACCTGGCCAAGATAAAGCAAAGCAGTGCGATAAAAACAACAACAACACAGAGTTACATATGGGATAAACTGTTTAACTGGTCCCCCATGGGAATCGAACCCACAACCCACAAATCGAACCCACAACTCTGGTGTTGCAAGCGCCATGCTCTACCAATTGAGCCACACGGGACCAAATAATAATAGGCTCATTATTTAGTCATTTTAACTACCATTTAATCCAATAGCAAAAAATACAAGATACACATTTCGAAACGTAAATGTTTTCTATACAGTAAATTACTATAACTTCACATGCACTTTTTTTTTTGCAAACCGATGGCAGGTTGGGACCATGTTGAGAAATATGTCAGTCTTACGCTTTCATTATCTTTATACAGTACATACATGGAACAAATCATCAGAAATAAGGGTATTGTGGGGATATTGTAAAGCAGTTGGCTACTGTAAAAACATATATTTGTGTAGCACAGTGTTTGTATGCCATTTCTGCCCTATGTAACATTGTAGAAGATCACCTTTTTAAGTGACTTCTAAGCTGATAGAGCATCGTCTCTCTCCTTGGCAAAATTAATCAGTTTACAGTGTATCAATGAAATTCAGATTATGAGTGGAATATATTGTTATACACAACCCAGGTATTTTAGCAGTGCATTGTACAACACACTATAATTCCAAATGGTAGCACATAGTGACTCTTTCCACTTTGTCATATTGAAGCACACTGGTTAATGGAGGATGATGATGTAGTATTTACACCCACATCCATATATGATTTGGTTTTACCTTCCAACATAAATGGATTTCAATTAATACTAAAAATATAGAATTGTACAGTGTTCAGCACTTATTAAACTTGATATGTTTTTGGTACTTTTACCAATTTCTCTCCCCAATTTCGTGATATCCAATTACAGTCTTGTCCCATCGCTGCAACTCCCCTACGGACTTGGGAGAGGCGAAGGTCGAGAGCCATGCGTCCTCCGAAACACGACCCTACCAAGCTGCACTGCTTCTTGACACACTGCTCGCTTAACCCGGAAGCCAGCCACACCAATGTGTAGGATGAAACACAGTCCAACTGGCGACCGAAGTCAGCTTGCAGGCGCCCGGCCCACCACAAGGAGTCACTAGAGTGCG